CTTAAACCTTGGCAGTCAAGTGGAGTTGCAGGGAGAGTGAAGGTCAAGAGAAATTACAGAAGCTGGGATGTTGAATGTGCTTTGAAGGGGGTGATATTTAACTTTTTTCTTTTTAATCAACATTAAAGTTCAGCATAATACTGTTTTGATAAGTTCTGTTGAATCCTTATACCGTAACTATCAAAAATGCAAGAGAACACTGTCCTATAGAAATTCTAATGTCTATTTAGTAATTCAAACACTATTTTCTGTAACCTCAAACTTTGCTTTGTCTTTGCAGCTCAGTCGAGTTTTTAAAATCTTTTGGTTGCAAGGCAAAAGGTAGTGTGGCTTATCCATTATGCCCTTACTTTTATCACTAGTTTTCTAAGTACGTTTGTCAGAGAAGTATTTTAAAATAACACTGTATTTTGACTGTCCTGTATCCCAAATGAAATACCACCAGGGTTTTCAACCGGGGTTACTTTGGAAGGCCCCAGGGGGTACATGGCTGCAGCACAGAGAAGCTGGTGGCACTTTCGGTTTCAGCACTGCGCAGGGTACCCTCCCCCTGCCCATTGACCAGCCACCAGGGGACACCCCCCCCCTGCCCTTCCACTCATTGACTGGCTGCCGGGGGTACCCCAACCAAAAAAGGTTGAAAAGCCCTGAAATACACCATTAAGAATGACAGCTTTACGTAATAGTTCCTCCTAAAATAGCCCTCTGAGTAAACTCATAGAGCTCAGTAGCCCTTATTCTCAGTGACAACACCTACTGCAAAACTTCCTATTTCTTTCACTACCTAGTTTCATAGATTTGTAGATTGTAAAACTGGAAGGGACCTCGGAAGATCATCAGGTCCAGCCCCCTGGACCAGGCAGGAAAGACAGCTGGGGTCAGGCGACTCCAGCAAGGTGACTGTCCAATCTTGTCTTGAAGATTTCCAGGGTAGGCGATTGCACCAGCTCTGGAGGGAGCTTATTCCACAGTCTGGGCACTAACTGTGAAGTCGTTTTTCCTAATTTTGAGCCTGAAACGGTCTTCCAGGTGTTTGTGGCCATTACTCCTGGTTTTCCCTAAGGGTGCCCTGATGAGCAGTTGTTCGCCAAGCCCTTGATGTACACCTCTGATATAGCAGTAAGCTGCTACCAAGTCCCCTCCTAGCTTTCTCTTTTTCAGGCTGAAGAGTCCCAGGTCCCTCAGCCTTTCCTTGTATGGCTGGCCATGCAAGTCTCTGATCATATGGGTGGCCCTTCTCTGGACTCTCAAGTTTTACCATGTCCTTGTTAAAGTGCGAAGCCCAGAACTGGACACACTATTGCAGTTGGGGTCTCACCAGTGCAGAGTAGAGTGGAAGAATCACTTCCTTGGTTTTGCTGGAAATGCATCGATCGATGCATGCCAGAGTATTATTTGCCCTGCTGGCAACAGCGTTGCACTGCTGGCTCGTATTCATACTGTGGTCTATTATTATCCCCAGGTCCCTTTTGTTCATGGTGCTGATCAGTTTGGTGGCACCAAGACTGTAGGTGTGTAAGAGGTTGTGCATCCCCAGGTGGAGTATCTGTAGCCTATCTTCAAGCATGACCACGCTTCCCCATAATTTGGTGTCATCCACAAACTTGGCCAGTGAGCTCTTCACCCCAGCATCCAAATCATTGATAAAGATGTTTAATAGCACCTGTTAAGCACCACTTCAGGATTACCTCAAGAAAAGTTTTCCTGGGGAAAGGAATAGAGGTACAACTGCAATTTGCCACCTAAAGGACTTTGAGAAGAGCATGCAGGGAAAAATTCTTAAGCCAGACAATGATCAGTAGCAAGCACCAAATCATAAGTTGTTCCTAGAGAAGGGATTGACAGGGCCAGGGATCTGGGTGTATAGTTCAGAGCTGCAGAATGGTGTTCTGAAATAAATGCCTGCCTTTGTTAGTATTTCTGTAACAAGTATCTAGATGTTTTTGGACACAAGCTGCTTCATTTAATTAAGCATTTGTTTTCTATTGCATGAACATGGCATTGTGTCTTGTTTCTTTTTATATTGTTATGCCTCTGATGTTAACCTCCAGCCATAAAAACTTTCGTGAACAATGGGATTCTCAGTTTGGTGCTGGCAGCTGAGACTTAACTCTTGCTGCATATTGAGAAAACGACAAGCTACCAGAATATAAATACAAGCTTTTACCTTTAGTACTAAATATGTACAAACTATACTTTATTTTGTGGCAAAAAGGCCAAAGTTACAATTTCTTGTATAAAGCCTCTTTTCTACTGGCAAAATATTTAATATATATATACCACAGTGTCAGTTTTTCCATGTATGCATAATGCAATATATTACACAACAATTCTACATTTAAATAGTAAGATAATCAAAGGTTACAATTCTAAGACATTGCATTCCATTCATCTCTTATCGTTCCCATTTTCTTAGGAAAGTGCATTTCTGTCAGTAGGCCATGTGTAGGTAAAGGCTGAGGTTTAATCTTAGAAAACTGGTATTATTCTACTACTGGAGGCTTGTTCAAATAACCTGTAGATTGGAACAGTTAAGTTCCATGCATAACATGTTCCAGTGAGCAGGGGGATGGAATCCCCGCCCTGCCTTTCCCCCCCCAATTTAACAATCCAGTGTCTTTTATACTGAAAAGCACAACACTACAATTCCTTCATGAAAATACTTTTGCTTAATTCAGAAAACTGGGCACATCTACACATGCATATTAATACAACACAATAGATGCTGATGCATATCACGCTGGATTGCTCCTGGGCACCAGGTTTACATGTACACCTGAGACTGCAGCACCTTGAGCTGGGATGGAGCAGCCTTGTCTGGCAGGGGAGGTCAGCCTGCCAGCCTGGGGCTGCTCTGATCTGGCTCAGTGTGCTGTGGAGGGGCTGGCTGGGGTAACAAGGGTGCTTCAGTGTGGAGCTAGCCGGCAGGCAGCCCATGCACTGAAGCACCCTCATGCCCCAGCCTGTGGGACGTTAGCATCTACATGTGTGCTGCAGCGTGAAAAACTGCAGCAGGGTAGTATTTGTATTTACAAGTACTACCCTGCTGTGGAGTTTGTTAGTTTCCTGTGATACCGAGACGTTTATTGCAGAGCTAATTAGTCAGCTCCGCAGTAAACATATAGTCGTGCCCTGTATTCCTTAGTTTAATCTGCCTAGGATGACTCCCATAACTGCTAAAGTACTCGGGGGGGCATTAGGGAAAATACTTTCTCCTTGGTATGTACTTATAGGGGCCTTGAACATCTTAACCTTTTCTTTCTAGATCCATTATCTAATCTTTTGTTTTGTTTTGTTTTGTTTTTTAGCTCATCAAGTCCATTTCATAAAAAATAAATTTCCTCTCACCATGTATGTGTGTTCCTTTCATTTTAGTCCTGGGAAAACACTAAGCTTGAAATGTACAAACATTACTTCTTGTTATAATGCTAATTAATGAGAACCATGTTAAAGAGATTGCATGACTATCTGTTACTGGTAAGTGGTGTTGTCACTGTTTCAGTTTCCTGCACTCTCTTGCCTCCAAGGAGATGGAGTTATGACACCATTTTGACTGTAGACTAGAAGATGGCTATACAGGATTGTCTTCACTTGAAAACTAATATGGATTAATAGAGAGTGTGAATCAAAGTACAAAAGCTGTTTCTGAATATCTCCATGTGTAGACAATTTTATTCTAGAGTAAGCATGCTGCCTTCCTATTTAACTTATTCCACACGCAGAGTTGATCAGGAACAGATCTATGCATAGAGAAGCCTGACAGCTGTCTCCCTAGGTTTCTCTTCTAAGGCACATTCTCAACAGAGTAAAAGCAAAGCACCACATACCCTGTTCGAGTATACCATAAATTAAAGTTTTGATGTACCTAGATTTAAGGCATTTATAAAGCAGCAAGATAGATGCTTCTTAGCATTTGGGACTAATTTGCATGTAGTGTTTTCACTCAAAACCAGTCCAAGTGGATTAGACTGTGGATTGGGCTATATCACGCACTAGCTAGAGTGTCAGTACTTGAGGTGTCGTAAAATACATTCTGCTACAGTTAAGGTTGTATTCACAGCATGCTTCTATAATGTCTCCATCCTAGTAATATTCACAGCTGTTTCCTGTGTTCTTTGATTCAGCAGCTAGAGTTCATCCTTGCTCTGGAAAGCCTGTTCTTAGATCTCTTCAAGTATAATCCCTCAACATTCAATATTGCCAGCTAGATTCCCACAAAATGGAATATGCAGGGGCCGCTTTGAAGAAGACAGACTGGTGTAACTAATGTTGTCTCTGTATTATCTAAACTACCTGTTCACTTGTTATGTTCTTCAGAGTTCTAACCCCCACAGTGGTGTTGCAGTTTTTTAGTGGGGAGGAAACAACTTGGCTCTCAATGTTTTGTGCTGCAAAGCAGCTCTTTTTGTGGTCCCAATAGTTTTGGCTTTCCTGGACGGTCCTCAAAGATGACTGCCATCGGAGGGTGGCAAATTACACAGATGTAAATAGTCAGAGTCAACATTCTCTCAAAAGCTACAGTAAGTAACCTCTTCTTGTATTTAATACAAAGGTTTTGGTTCCAGAGCTTCAAATTTAAAATAAATATTAACCAGTCAGTATTACTACAGAAAGACAGTACATAAAAAGTACTTATTGTGCAGTTTGTCAGACATTTATAACCAAATCATACCTATTTAATTACTTCTGACTAAGCAATGGCTTCCCATCCACAAATGCATACAGTGCCTTAAAAATATTTTCATCCTTTTAACCCACTAAAAGCAACAACTGTATTTTATAGCTGAAATGTACTGATTTTTAAAGGGATCAAATGGTTTGCCGCTCCATTTTTCAGATAACAAAGTATTTCTTTAAAAAATAATAATTTAAAAATCCTAGAGACCCTTCTCCCCCAATCAGTAACTATGCACAAGGAAGCTTTACCGGCACTCATGATGTTCCTTGATAATAGCGTTAAAGGTGTTCTGGTGTAAGCTTGTCTTCACTCTTTTTTCCCTTTGTCGTCGATTGCAAAACCAAACTCTGACAACTTCCTTCTCCAGATTGAGCCCTTCAGCCATCCTCATGATCTCTTGAGAAGAAGGTTTACTTTGTTCTCCAAAGTGTCTCTCTAGAGCTTCTTTTGCAGCAATGCTGGATGAAAGAATCATGTTTATTGTCAATAACTCTCTCATATATCAAGGCAGCTATTTTAGGATAAAGTTAAAGGATGAGCATTGAAAATACAGCACAAAAATAAGAAAGAGAAAATGCACTAAGTGCATTTGAGGTATTTGTTAATATGGACTTCAAAAATCGAATAGACTTTTCAGTGTGGATTATTTTAAAGGAAGAGATACTAGGGTGGTTTCTCTAACTACAGGAAAACCACAAAACGTTCATCCTTTACATCCTGTGCAGGCTGTACCTGGCTACTAGGAAGGAATATAATTATGTGTGCATTTAGAAGTGTGACTGGCCATTCCATCTAGTAATAGGCAGCATCTTAGCTATGCTGAAGACACAAACATATCTGGAGATGCAACGTGTACATGATACAATTATTCTCACTCAAGGAAAGAGTTGCAACAGTGAATGTGTCATATTCTAATCAAGTTATGTATCCTCTTACATGGGTAGTCCTTTAACATTTTAAGAACTGCAAATTATATGGATCAGTATAATTTGTTCCAACCAGCAAGTGTCTCAAAAAATCTAGTTTAACCCTTTTGTTTGATTAGTAGTCACCAAAGGTATGTTTTGGCTGAGCAGATCAATAAATACAATAAGTTAACAACAGCATTTTCCCCATATTTTTGGAAAGCTAGGATGGATATTGAAAGAATGTCACCTTTCTTGGTACTTATGTTTAGAGCAACAAGAACAAAAAAATCTTGGATTCACTTTATAAAAAAATTTACACCTTATTGTTTTGTGTTTCCTTTTTAGAGCCAGCTTTACCAGTACCTTATATTATTTTGGCCACAAGGGGGCACTCTGGGATTTAGTCTTGATGTGAAGTGGGAATAGTTCTCCTAAAAAGGCGGAAGAAACTTCAGCTAAAATTCTAGTTCCTGAAAACTTTTTCAGTTGTACCTTTAAAATAAACATTTAAGTTCTGTTTTAATTATCCTCGCTTCTTGAAATGAACTAATCAAAAATCATAATGTTCTATGAATGTATGGCTGTAGAATCATCAGTATTTAAACAGCTTTTAAAGGATGGGACAACATAAAATAATTCCCATAGCCACATTATATTGGTCCGGGACGTGATAGCAGGTTACTGCTATATCTGAGGAGGGCATCAGGAGCTCAGTGAACAACTGTTCACTAGGAAACCCCCAGAGAAGACCAGGACCAATGGATATAAACTCCTGGAAGGCTGCTTCAGGCTTAATACCAGGAAAAACTCCTTCACAGTCAGTGTCCAGACTGTGGAATAAACTCCCTCCAGAGGTGGTGCAGTCACCTACCCTGGAGGTTTTCAAGAGCAGACTGGACAGTCACCTTGCTAGGGTCACTTGACCCCAGTTGTCTTCCTGCCTGGAGTGGAGGGGGCTGGACCTGATGATCTGCAAGGTCACTTCCAGCCCCTAACAATCTATAAATCTATGAATTATAGATAATTTGATCTGGGTGTACAAAGATCCAGCATGAGAACTACATTAACGTGGTCCTTTTCCAGTTTCTATTATGTCTTCAGAAATGTATTTATGGACAATTCCCACTAACATGGGTATACTGTAGATAAAGATTAAATTTCTGATTGTGTTTGATACAGTTCCCAAACAAGGGTCCAACATTCCTAGAGTTATCTTCAACGATTCTTACAAAGTGCCTGGACTTTTCCTTCACTGTGTGTGTAATTGTACAAAGCTGTGTTTACATATAGTATAAGGAGAAGCACTTAACTTGCCTGGTGTACAGATCAAGTGTTTGATGATTGCCAGCATGGTGCTCCAAACAAGTAATACAGGAACAGAGATACAGATGTCAGATGAGTGGTAGCCTGCCATAGAGAAGTGCAGCTACACGAGACACTTAACTTTGCATTAGCATAGTTTACTGCAAAATAAGCATGTGCATCTACATGTGTTCATGCTTACTTCACAGTAAACCTCCCTAATCCCAAATAAAAATTCACTACCTGCAAATGCAAGTAGCAAATTTACTTGAGATTAGTAATGGTGCCATAGTACTTGTGTAGACACCTGACTGGGAGCAAAATCTGCTCCTGGTCAGCCAGCCACCAGCAGTGGGAGATTGCTCCCTGCCCCCAGGAGCTGCCTGCTGCTAGGGCAGGCTCTACCACAGAAGCTTGAGCAGAGACTATGTCCCCCTGTCACAGCAGCAACCAGCTCCATGCCCCTGCTCCAAGATCATGATCGGGGAGCAGGGACTGGGAAATGCTTATCTCCCAGTCCCAGCTCTGTTGTCCCAGGGCCAGTGCTGAGAGACCCTTATCTCCCAGCCTGAGCTCCATGATTGCAAGGCTCAGGTTGGGAGATCCTTATCTCCTAGCACTGGCTCCACAACTGGGGTTTGGAAAGAGCTCCAGAGGTGCAGTAGATCCCAGCCCCCTGCCCAGATCTGCTGGTGGGGTAGCTACTAATGAGCCATTTCAGCAATTATAGAAAGGGTTTGGGGTAAAAAAAAACACCTTTGAGAACCCTGCCGATTGAAAATCACATGAACAGGCATTCTTATCAACAGAAACCAATCTGGAGAAAAGTTACTCTTAAAACATAATTTGTATACATCCTACACTCCCAAGAATAGCAGCAGAGCTGTAAAGGCTGTCTTTACACCTTAGGACCATGACTTGCTAGGGAATGGGCTGACATGGAAATCAACCCTCCTTAGCCTCCCAACACTAGTTGGTCATAGAGGGTGCTTATACATGTAACAAAATTGCCCTTTTTAGCAGTTTAATTGCCATTTTTTAGCAATTTAATCGTGTCACACTTTACACATGTGGCAGTGTATTGCGCTTTTGTTACACTGTACACATACAGCAGCATATTGTTAATGAAATTACTTTATGTAGCAAACTAAAACACATCCTGATGTATTTTAGTTTGCCACGTAACAAATTGCAGCAATACATCCATCCCCAGGACCCCCTACAGATCAGAGGCCACTTGGCCCACCAGCAGCACTCTCCCCAGCCACAGGCAGGCTCTGTGGGGGGGGAAAAAAAGTGGTAAGATGCTTGGTGGGCTTCCAGCACCCTGTGCACTGTCCCCGCCACCTTCCCACCACCTGGGACCAAGCTGGCTTGCCCCTGGGGCAGTGAAGGAAGGTGGCAGGAGTGCAGCTGGGTATTCTGGCTGGAGAAGGTGGCAGGGATGGTGCATGGGGTGCCGAAAGCCCAGGAAGGCTCAAGGAAGCTTGGGATTGGAATTCCAGCACCCTGTGCACCATCCCTGGCACCTTTCTCCAGCCAGCTCTTCTGGCTCCATCCCTGGCACATCCAGCTGCTCTTCTGCTGCCTTCCCACGCTGCCCCAGGGGCAAGCCAGCCCATTCCCAGGTGGTCTTAGGAGACAGGAAGGTAGCAGGGACAGTGCATGGGGGTGCTGAAAGCTTACCAAGCTTGAGCTTCCCGAAACATGCCCAGGCTTCCAGAATCCTATGCACCATTGGATTGGGCCAGGTGCTGCTTGCAAGCTGGGACAGCATCTGTGCAGCTAGCACTGTGTCCAGGCAGCCCTGGGGGGCACTGCCACTGTGAAGGGAAGCACCGGGCCTCCCTGCAGCTCAGGGCTGCGTGACCTGGTGGCAGCTCATGTAGGCAGGCTCCACCAAGGAAAAAAAAAAAAAAGCAGCGAGGGGCCCCCAATTATTTTTTCTGGCAGAGCCTGCCCACCTCTCCCGCAGCCAGGGGGTGAGTTGACGGCAGTGTCTGAGCTGTAGGGGGGGCAGTTCTTTCCTCTGTTGCGGTGGTGCCCCCCTCCCCCTCCACAGGCCACCTGGGCAGGATGCTAGTGGGCCAGGGGCAGGCTCTGCCTGGGAACATAAAAAAAGGAAGTGGCAAGGGGTCTGATCCTTTTTTTTTTTTTTCTGATGGAGCCTGCCTGCAGCCGGCGGGTGAGCTACTGGTGGTGTCTGAGCTGTGGGGAGCCCCATTCCTTCCCTCTGTGGCAGCGTCCCCTGGGGCCACCGGGGCTGGGTGCTAGTGGGCCAGGTGCTGGCTCTGAGCAGCTCTGGGCTCGCTGGCAGCTTTTAAGTAAAAGCCCACCAGTTAAAAATCCCCCGTTTCAGTTTAGGGAGAACTAAACCCCAGTCTTGTGTACAAGCGACCAGAACTAGCACGCAATCCCACTCTTACTATCAGCTTCCCCTATTTGGAAGAATTGCTGGGAAGGACATGTACTGCCACTGCAGGCCCTCCATGTGTTGAGAGTCTGAGCTCAGCACTGGTTCAGGTTTTCTGTGAACCTGTACTGCCTGTCAGCATCAGCTACTAGCCAAAGGTATCTTAGTGTCAGGCTGAAGGCCTGAGGTGGAAGAGACTGTAGCCAGCATTGGATTCCTTTTAGTATCTTGGATTTCTCACCTCCTAATGACTGACTACACACAACAAAGACAGCCCCACCCCCCATTTATGCAATTAGAAGCATTTGTGATTGATCAGTGTTTTTGAATGATTCCTGGGTGAATTCGCTTTCCTAACAGAAGAGAGCAGAACATCTGAGTGGAGAGGGAAGTCCCCACTCCAATTCTCAACATGTTTAGTTAACAGGATTCAACCTATCCCCATTTCATATTGCTTTGTTTCTTTATGTATGTTTATGTGCAATCGCTTTAGTAATGTGACATTTAAACAATGATGGGATTCCAGCCTGCTCTGTTTCCATATGCAGAGGGGGCTGAACTCCTCAAATTAAGAGAAAGAGATAAAAAAAAACCCAAAAAAGCCTGCTCCAAGCATGCTCCCGTCTTTGTCTTTGCCAAAAAATCCTACTGCAGAAGCTCTGCAGGTCCAGATCCCTAGCAGGAGGATGGGAAATGAGGAGAAAAAAATGCATCATTTCTTTAGGTGGTTTCTAAATGGGATATATTTTCATTTACTTAAAAATTGTACTTTTCATCGACAACTTTCAGTTGTTTTTTTCTTCTACTAGCCCTAGATAAGGCATTTATGGGAAAAAATAACTTACATTTTTAATCCAATGGAGGCATCTCAAAGTAAAAAGGACTTCCAGTTCAAAGTTTCCTAAAGTATTTATTACCTTATGGTAGTTCTGCGCTTCCTTTTTCGCTCATTCACTCCGACCTTTTCATTGTACAAAGCTATATCAAATTAAAAAAAAATGATCTTCAATACAAAATGAAAGCCAAGCACAATCTTTGATAGAAATAATTGTTACTGATATTTTAATAGTGGGGAATGCCAGATACTGGAGATGAATGCAGAATACAGTTGACACTTGGAAATCTTCCCTCTCTAGGCCATCTGGTGGCTGAGTGGCATAACTTCAGGCTTCAGAAACAAGTGATTGTTTATAATGTAAAAAAAATGAGGGGATCTTTTCATGTTTGGTTTAAAGCAGGTTCATGATTTTTTCCCCCCTTTTTAAAGTTTGTGCTTAAAATACGTTTGACACTCAACCCTGGATAATATTCCTCTCAGTGGACTCTTAGCACAACCTGGGCCTGGCAGGCTACTGGAACTAGTCTTTGGCAGTTTCAGGAAGCCAACTGTCAAAAAGCATTTACAAGAGCATCTGCCCCAGCTCCTGTTTTGTACACATACAACCACAGGTCACCCAATAAAAAATAACCTACCGTGTGCCACAGGAGAAGCAAGGGGGTGGCATCAATGCAGAATTTATTACATTGAATAAGCTCATGTGATCCTAGGAGAAAGACTATGCTCACGACACGTAGGAAAGCAGCAGTCCTTTCTGATCTAATGTTAAAGGACTCTTCTCTGTCCTGACCCCAAATCTGATGCTTTCTTTCCCTCTGAGTGTGTGAACAAGAGTCACCACCCAGGAGAGTGAGCCAGTACAATTTAAAGTCACAGCCCACCCAAGCAAAACCTACTTGCAGTAAATACTTCAAACAGAAGGGAAAAGGAAAAGAAGCAAAATAATGCATTCAAGGGGAAAAGTTTCTTTCTGGCTCCAGCAGAGCCCCAAAGCATGAAATTACTCCCATATCCCTTTATTTGGAATATCATTCCCTAATTTCACTCCTCTAATGGTTAGAAACCTTGTTCCAATTTCCAGAGTAAATTTGTTCATAACCAGACTGCGGTCATTTGTATAATTATTCCTCTTCTGCTTTCCTAATATTCAGGGGTTTAGGTTGTAGCCATGTTGGTCTAAGGACATAGGCAGACAAGGTTCCTTGGGTGAATTTGATATCTTTTATTAGACCAACCCAAATGGTTGGAGAATAGTTATTAAGCAAGCTTTCGGGTTCAAAAACCCTTCGTCAGGCTAAGGAAGTGTTAGCAGTTACTGACACTTCCTTAGCCTGACAAAGGGTTTTTGAACCCGAAAGCTTGCTTAATAACTATTCTCCAACCATTTGGGTTGGTCTAATAAAAGATATCAAATTCACCCAAGGAACCTTGTCTTCCTAATATTCATGTACTTATACATATATATATATATTCATGGTCTCTCCCCTCAATGTTACCTAGCTCAACATACCAAGCTCTTTTAATATCCTCTTACAGTTTCATAGTTTCATAGTAGCTAGGGTCAGGAGGGACCTGAACAGATCATGTAGCCTGACCCCCTGCCACAGGCAGGAATGAATGCTGGGTTCACAAGACCCCAGACAGGTGATCATCCAACCGCCTCTTGAATTCCCCCAAGGCAGGGGCGAGGACCACTTCTCTTGGAAGTTGGTTCCAGATTTTGGCCACCCTAACTGTAAAATATTGCCTTCTGATCTCTAACCTAAACCTTCTCCATCAGCTTATGACCATTGTTCCTCGTCACCCCAGGTGGTGCTGGGGAGAAAAGGGCTCTGCCTATTTGCTGTTGATCCCCCTGATGAGTTTGTAGGCAGCCACCAGGTCCCCCTCAGCCTCCTCTTGCTGAGGCTGAACAGGTTCAGGTCCTTCAGTCTCTCCTTGTAGGGCCTGT